ATCTGACGTGGATATGGACGACTTCGAGGAGGAGGCTTCCGAGAAGCCAGCTACCAAGTCCAAGGCCAAGAAGGCCGAAGATACATTCGACGAGGATGATGACTTTGACATGGACGTTTCTGACGACGAAGCCTTCCTCGACAGCGACGAGGACCTACCCTCGGACGTGGAGCTCGGCGGCGGAGTGGAGCTCCCGAAGGAGGACGACAAGTCGGACCAGAAGAAGAAGAAACGCAAGCTCAAGCATCTGCCGACCTTCGCCTCGGCAGACGACTATGCGGCCCTGCTGGCCGGGGAGGACGAGGGCATGTAAGGGGGAGATTGTACAGCTGTGGAGCAACGCGATGTTCATACTACAGATACCACAAAAAGTCTATTTCAAGGCCTTTTCTTCAACACAAGTCTATCCCACTGGGAACATAGAGACCCGCGATCGTAGCAGCCCATGCACTGCACAAGAATAAACAAGCAAGGTACACACCATGGCATGTTCCAGACCATTCCCATCCGGAAATAGACTCCCAAATCAGGTGATATGATCTACATTAGTACGTCCCTGAACAACCGAAACCAACCAGCAAGTAGACTCCAGGCCCTAATAAGTTAGACAGGTACCTGACCAAGCTGAGGGTGCTGCAACAGAACGCCAAAACAAAACCCCCTTGGAAAGAACCTAGCAGGAGACCGAATCTAGAACCCGAGCGCCACATGGTTCTCGAACATGGGTCGCCTCCATTACATCATCGTGGCATGAAATTGCGACTGAGAGCTTCTTTGCTGACATGAATAAATGAGCTTATTCACGGAGATAAATAAGATTGAGTCCAAATCTGCTCACAGTGAGATTATGCTGGCGGGTCACGCCATTCGCTCTACGCAAAGTAAGCATCCCAAGGCTTCCAGAAGGGCAGTGATTGACTGCGCCCGTGGGGATCACGCCATCTGCTAGTGCATAACGTGCTCAAGCTTAAGCCAACACGAGAAAAGCAATAATCATCGACCGTCAAGGTTGGTAGTATACAGAAAAGGGGAGCTGGTGCGAAATTTAATACTAGTATCGGTCCGTTGTGTAACTGGCCTAGCCTATGGTGTATGTAAGGTGCAACTTCAGTGTCTAAAGTAGGTTTGGAGAAGCGGTTCAGATCGGTCGAGGTGCCCGAAATTCGCGCAAACAGAGAAAAGCATTAACATTAAAGAACGCATTCCATATTGTCTACAGTTCAAGCCGGGTGTAAGCGAAGGGGTTGATAAATAAAATACACAAACAGAATAATAGAAATAGAAATAGAAATAAAAAAGAGATTCGAATGATTTCAATGTACTCTGTTTCGCAAGTACTATAGTCCGGCAAAGGCAATGGCTGTTACTGGATAAGCACGGGACAAAACGTCTTCGGTTGAGGCCAAGAACCAAGTGGGTCGCATCCGCTATGAAGGTCAAGAAAAGTTCAGTTTACGGATGCGGGGCTCTCAACTGGTTCGGATGGGCTCCGCCATCAGCGCCTTCCGCGGTAATGATTGGCAGCGGGGGGGCTCGTGGGTTGCATCGGGAGTTGGTCCAATGCTAATTCCAGAAGTGGAGGTATGGTTGTCCATGATTTCCTGACTGCATGTAAGTAGTAATTAAATCTCCTGTGTAGTTGCCTCTGCATACACAGGATACTGTAAAAGACTCTGGTGATCGTTGCCCGGTAAAGTCTTTCCCAGGTAGTCTGTAGTTCTCTCAGATCTACGGCAACACCCTGGTTGGACTCCCGTGACCCGTGGTCGGGAAGCTTGAGTTACTTTGGCAGTTTTAACTCGGTACCTCGAGAGCATAATCTTACCCTGGAGCGATTCCTGCCCTAACAAGTAAGAAACGGGACGCGCAAAGAGCCGACTCTCTGCGTACCGTCGATGGTCCACACTGCCATGAGCACGTCATGGGGTTGAGGCATCCAAGTTGACTTGATCTTCGGTATCGCCGTCCGACTCATTGCGTCGATGGTCATTCCACCGGATCCACTGCGGTGGACGCTAAGCTCAGAGAAGCTTAAGCTGGATTTCTGGAAACGGACTTGCCCTGCGCCTTTATCAGCCGCTGAGGTCAATGCAAGATCGAAATCAATTAAAACAGAAAAAAAAGAGGGAAAGAATCGTAGAAATTAATGTGAATTTAAAAAAATGTTAATCGAATAGGAATCGTGATAAGGTTCATCTATTTTCTTACTCGCTGATTTACTCTTTGTTTCTTTTTCTTTTTCCTTTTTCTTTTTTTTTTTTACTTCGCCTCCTCCATCTGACAACCATCACAGTGGTTGTTCTTCTTCCCTTCTCTCTCCCGTCTCTTAGTGTCTTGGGACGATTGCTTGGACGCCTCCAAGCTCTCTTGGTTCGCTTTGCCCAGCATTTGCCATACGCATTCGACGCTAATTAGCCGAATAGATTTTTCTTTCTACTTCCCTTTCACCTTCGTTCATTTTCGCCTAGAAAGGTTTACAGATTCCTTCTGGTATAAATCGGTTTCCGTCCCTAAGGTAAGTGGTTCTGGTCCCACCTGGCTGGCGGTGTTCTGTCACACATCCATCCGCTCGTCTAGGCGACTATTGACCTGCGATTATCTAGATCTTCTGTCTGAATCTTCAACGTGAGGAGCAGTACATGCATCCAAAGGCCTCCAATTCTACTTCTACAACCCACTCCACCACTTCCTTGCAACGGCGGTCTGTCCGCTCAAAATGGCTGCGCCCCATACATCCAAGGCCCTTGACGGGCGTGGGGACGAAGACCGTCAGTCTTTTGCCTCGGACGGAGCGGATTCTCCCGATAAAATGAAGGATCTCGAGAATCAGCGTCAGCCCGGAGTGCAGTCCGATTCGGACACAGATGATGTTGGAAGACAAATCGAAATGGAGGCGGGTAACTCCATCAAATACCGGACATGTAGTTGGCAAAAGGTGCGTTCGCATGTGGAACAGGGTATCTTCGTGGCTTGGTGCTGATCAGGATGGACGAACAGACGGCCGCGTTGCTCTTTTCCGAATACATCTGCCTGGCTATTATGTCATTTCCCTGGTCTTATTCCGTTCTCGGGTTAGTTCCGGGTTTGATTCTGACCGCGGTTATTGCTGGGATTGTGCTGTACACTTCCCTGATTATCTGGTAAGTGAATGCGACTCTGCATTCCGTGAAGCCAAGATTAACAGTTGTCTTAGGAAATTCTGTCTGCGCCACCCCCACGTTCGCGATGTGTGTGATATCGGCCAGCATCTCTTCTGGGACTCGAAGATTGCCTGGTATCTGACCGCAGTAATGTTCTTGTTGAACAATACCTTTATTCAGGTAACTTCGCCCAATATCATCTCGAGACCCAGGATCGGGTGAGCCCTAATACTGTTCTAGGGTTTGCATTGCTTGGTCGGCGCGGAGTGGCTCAATACGATCTCTTCTCATGGGACGTGTACTATCGTCTTTTCCTTGATTACGGCCATTGTCTCGTTCGTCTGCTCACTGCCGAGAACATTCAGCACGCTGTCCAAGATTGCCACTTTCTCCGCGTTGTTCACGTTCATCTCGGTGATGTTGGCCGTTATCTTCACAGCTATTGAAGATCACCCCGCGGGCTACACTCCCGCCAAGGGCGATCCAATTGTCACCGCAGTCCCCGTGGCCGGGACCACGTTCGTCTCGGGCGTCAACGCTTTTCTGAACATCAGCTACACGTTCATCGGCCAGATCACACTTCCGAGTTTCATCGCCGAAATGAAGGAGCCGAAAGACTTCTGGAAATCCGTTACGGCGGTCACTGTTGCGGAAATCATCGTGTTCAGCTTGGTGGGCTCGATCGTGTATGCCTACACTGGCAACCAGTATATGACAGCCCCGGCGTTTGGCTCTATCAGCAATGAGGTGTACAAGAAGATATCCTTTTCGTTCATGGTCCCGACCTTGATTTTCCTGGGAGTCTTGTACGCCTCGGTATCGGCCCGTTTCCTCTTCTTCCGTCTGTTCGAGGGAACGCACCACAAGGGTAATCATACTGTCGTCGGATGGGCTGCCTGGGCTGGAATCCTAGCCGTTCTGTGGATTGGGGCATTTATCATTGCCGAGGTGATCCCGTTCTTTTCCGATCTGCTTTCGATCATGAGCGCACTGTTTGATTCATTCTTCGGGTTCATCTTCTGGGGTGTTGCCTACCTCCGGATGCGACGTGAGGACTACGGACCGGATTTCTACAAGAATCGGGGATTCCGGGGCTGGATTGGCATGATCGTCAATGTCGGCTTAATTTTCGTTGGCCTATTTTTCTTAGGGCCTGGAACCTATGTAAGTTCGACCTTCTCCGCCATGCTGTCCATTGGTCATGACTAACGATCTCTGCAGGCTGCTGTTGACAGCGTAGTCCTGAACTATCAAGCTGGAACTGTGGGTAGTCCTTTCTCCTGCGCTAATAACGGATTGTAATGAGTTTACGTTGTTTGATCTAAATTTCCATTCTTTGCGGGCTGATCACAAATGTGTGTCTTCCGACGTGTACGACCCTGGAGGTTTTTAAGAAACCGTGGGAGGATTTCTCTTATTTTTATCATTCGGGTTCGCAGCACTCTCCGTATGACGGGCTACCTATTCGTGTTATTATGGTAATGAAAGATATCATCACTGTAGCGATGAAGCAAAGTCTCTCGCCGGACAGATGGCATGGTATGCGCTGAGGCTGTCTGCATGCTGAAGGCGACACAACACTCGCCAGTGGTACACGGTAGAAGATACCCTTACCACGCGTTGGGCAGAAGATTCCAATTTGGCCTATTAATTCCCACAATCGTCGTAGATGCTTTATCTTGCGTAAATCGAGCAAGTAATCCGCCGAACGGAGCGGAGACGACTTACCCGCGGACTTTGCCCTATCGGCATGTGACTTTCCCGCTATCGATCATACTCCGCAATAATTCTATCCTGTCGCCCTTTGTTCACGAACTTCCTTCTGTAAATAATCACATCGAATCGTTTCAAAATCTCATCATGTCAGCTGTAAGACCTTTGCGACGAGGTATCAACCTCCTGGGATCGAAATCGCTCTCCCAGCCCGTTTCTATCGCCGCCAATGGCTCTACTCTCCTTCCGCGGCAGCTGACAGCTCCGCTCCACCGCGGTCTCCGCACTCCGACTGCTGCACGCCCACTCCTCCGTGTCAGCTCTGTTTCTTCCTCTAATGGTGGTGTGCGATTTGCTTCGTCTGCGGCTCCCTCGGGGCCGCTGAGACAGACTCAGCTCTATGACCTACATCTCGCCCGGGGTGCCAAGATGGTGCCCTTTGCGGGGTTTGACATGCCGCTGCAGTACTCCGATCTCAGCCATGTTGAAAGCCACAAATGGACCAGAGAAAAGGCGAGCTTGTTCGATGTGAGCCATATGTACGTACACACCCATAGATACTCCTATATACATAGAATCAAAGACTAACGCCAATTCCAGGGTTCAACACGAACTCAGTGGACCCGGCGCGATCGAGCTCCTGATGAAGATCACACCATCTTCCCTCGACAAGCTCGGCCACAACCAGTCCACCCTCTCTTGTTTGCTCGAAGAAGGCACTGGTGGTATCATCGATGATACCGTCATCACCCGTCGTACTGACGAAACCTTCTACTTCGTCACCAACGCTGGCCGCCGTGACGAGGATCTCGCCTTCCTGGAGGCCGAGATCTCCGCCTACAAGCAAGCCCACGGCGCCGACAGCCTCAAATGGTCCATCCTCGAAGACCGCGCCCTGGTCGCCCTCCAGGGCCCCCTCGCAGCTGAGGTCCTCCAATCCTACGTCCACGGCTCCGGCCCCGAAACAGACCTCAGCACCCTCTACTTCGGCAACTGCCGCGAACTCCACCTCACCCTCCCCGATGGCTCGCGCACCCCGCACCCTCTCCTCATCTCCCGTACCGGCTACACCGGCGAGGACGGCTTCGAAATCTCCATCCCCACAGCCGGCTCCCCCTCCCTGCCCGTGCAAGTCACCGAGCTCCTCCTCACAAACGCAGAGCAGGTCCGCCTCGCCGGCCTCGCAGCCCGTGACTCCCTCCGTCTGGAAGCCGGCATGTGTCTCTACGGCCACGACATCTCCACCGCCCAGACTCCCCCCGGCGCATCCCTGGGCTGGGTTGTCGGCAAGGACCGCCGCGACCCCGCAACCGCTACCTTCAACGGCGCCTCCGCCATCCTCCCCCAGCTCGCCTCCCCCGCCAAAACCCTCTCCCAGCGTCGCGTAGGCTTCACCGTCGAGAAGGGCTCCCCCGCCCGTGAGGGCGCCGTCATCGTCGATATCAACGACGAATCCCGCACTCCCGTCGGCATCATCACCTCCGGTCTCCCCAGCCCTACCCTCGGCGGTACCAACATCGCCATGGGCTACGTCAAGCAAGGTCTCCACAAGAAGGGCACCGAGGTTGGCATCTTGGTCCGTAACAAGCTCCGCAAGGCTACCGTTACCGGTATGCCCTGGGTTGAGAGCAAGTTCTATCGTGGCAAGGCCTAGATCCCGTACTGGGGTTGAGCTCTGTTATTCTGGCTTTTGTGATTGTTGTTTTTTTTCCCTAGTTTTCTTTTGTTTGATTTGCTTCATGCCGTGATGTACTGTAGATATTACGATTCCCCTTTTCATTGCATTTGTACGAGACTGCCATCAACTCGTCTCGAATTGGATGCCCTGTCTCGACTGGGTGTTTGATTGATTCTCAACGAATGAATAAAAGAATTTAGAAAGCTTCATGAATGGGTCTGTTCTTGGTTTGCAGTAGGATTTTGTAGTCTTTACCTAGGGAATGTTTAGTTGGGTACGTAGTTTACTTGCAGGCTAGTCTAGGAGGTCAGTAATGTTCATCTTGCTGCGGGAGAAGTAACTTTATATTACAGACTCAAGACTACAAGTATTGCTATGGCTAGTATAATTAAACCAGCTCTCATAATTACCATTAACGCCGGTTCATACCCTTGAACTTAATCAATAAGAGCACCCCTTGTTGACAGAGACGGCGGCAGATCCTCCTCTCCAGTGCCCCAATGGCTCTCATTCCTTCCCAACACGAGCACCAACTCCCGTCCATCAGTGAAAAAGTCATGTCCCACCCAGTTCTTGGTATAAGGCTTTCCATCCAACGTCGCAGATTGGATATAAATGTTCTTGTACGCGGGGTCAAAGTCAACGGCACGGATCGTGGCGGTCCGTCCCGTCAGCGGCGAGGTGATGCGAACAGACTCGAAGAAGGGAGCCGAGATCAGGTACACATTTTGTCCCGGGTTCGGGAAGAGACCCATCATGGTCATGGCGACGAAGGAACCCATGGCGCCGGAGTCGTCATTGCCGGGTAGTCCGGTTGGGTTTGCGTTGAAATATTTGGGGACGTAGAAGTGGGCGCGGGAGGTGGATTTGCCGGGACGGCCGCCGTAGTGGTACTGGAAGACGGTTAGGAAAGAGGGCTCGTTGCCGATGTACGTTATGCCCGTATCATGAAGATAGTCGAGGCGACGGACGAATTGGGATGGGCCTCCGAGGCGGCTGATGAGAGCGGCCATGTCATGAGGGACGAAGCTGGAGAGTTAGTGTGGATTAGTTGAATCGTTTGGCTAGCTTTCACCTACAATTGATACTCCCATATGCTGTCTTCAAATGTTTCGGCTGCATTGTTTTGAAGCGAGCAAGCTCTCCCGCTCGTGTCAATGCTGGAACAGGTGATAGGATCCTTTCGTTAATTAGACGTAAATACTCTCATGGAAACTAGGACATGGGGACAAACCTGATAACCCCAGGTACCATTCAGGTACTTGGGTTGAAAGAAGCCTTTGAATCCGGTATCGGTTCCGTTTATGAATGAGGCCTGGTCGTCGCGAAACAGATTCTGCCAGAATCGAGAAGTAGCTTCGTATTTCTCAGCGTCACCCTTCTTCCCGAGCCCACGGGCCATTTGTGCAATAGTGAAGTCATTATAAGAGTATTCCAGTGTGCGGGAGACGCTCCGCGTCATCGTTCCAAAGCCCTTGTAGTCAAAATCCTCTACTGGAATGTAGTTCAGCGATTTCCAACTGTCCAGGCCACCACGTCCTTCGTTCGACCAGTCATACGGTTCTTCTTCAGCATCCTTCTGGACGGCGGAGTAGCCTGCCTGCCACTCGATTGCATCAGAAATTCCCTTGAGGTATGCATCGGCAAGGACAACGTCCGCGTTTGAACCACCTTGGGTGTAACCTAGACCAGTCAGTCCGCTTCTATTAATAGGGCTATAGCTCCGCACCTTTGCAGAGCGACATGCGGCAGTCTGGAAGCCAGCCCAGATGTTTCTGGGTATCAATCAACGATCGAATCATTCGAGCCAGCGATTCAGGATCGAAGATGGTCAAAAATGGCAACTGAGACCGAAACGAATCCCAGAGACTATCACATATCAGAGAGGAGCTCTACGAATGGATGGTGCGCATACCAGTAGAAAGAGTCAAAATATGGCTCTGTGCTCTTCCAAAGCGGGTTCTCCCCGGTGTAGTCCTGCGGATTGATCATGGTACGGTATATTCCACTATAAAACGTGGACAGGAAGGAAGAATTGACACCATTTCTCGATACCCGAATGGGGGCAAGCTTCTTTGTCCACGAATCCACCGCGGCAGAATGTGTCGCATTGAAGTCAAAGTTAGGGATTTCAGACTCAGCGTTGCTGCAAGCTTGTTCGCTACTGATGAAGCTAAGGCCGACCCGGGCTAGAACCGTATCATCGGCCGGTGAGTTAAATCGAACGAAGGCACCTCCCTACACTCGTTAGCTGTACCTGGCACTAACAGGTTCGATGCTTGAACCAACCGGTAGAGGATAACCATTTATGCTCCGGGAGATCGTGAGATCCTTTACATCCGTGCTCGCTCGCGAATTGACGAATATACCATTATCCCTGATACCAGAGGCACTGTGAAAGTCAACACAGAAGTACGGAGTGTAGGATCCACTTCCAAAGCTGGGTAGAAAGCGAGCATGGCCAACCATCCGCCCCGTGTCAGCATCTACGGAAATAGTTCCATTGTCCTGTCGCGTGTCGGACAAGTCACTAAGATCCAACAGGATAAGGGGCTTTGCTTCGCGATCTGCTGGGAACCGAAACCGGAAGAGAGATGCATGGTGGGATACAGTCATGTCTACCTGAATCCCCGAGGCCATAGTCAATGCAAAGTAACCCGGACTCGCAGAGACAGACCCGGGATCGTAGCGCGTCTTGCGCTGTTTCTTGGGATACACACAGCCATTGACATCGTCATCCTTGCAGCTCACATATGGGAATATGGGGAAGTTCCCGAGCGACGGTTGACCTCCAGTACCTGAATCATGCAGACTGGAAAACCCTGTGATGTTACTTCCGTCGTATGCGAAGCCGCCCTGGTTGTTCACAGAGTCTGTATCGGCAACAGCCTTCGCCATCCCATAGGGAAGTGACGCGCCGGCGAAGACGTTCCCTAAAGAATACGGGTAATCAGATGCCAATCACAATGTTTTGTTATTGAGACCCGATTGGAGATTTTTATACCTCCGTTCGCACTTCCGATAAGCGGGTCAACATATTGCAGTACATCGTAGTCTTCAGGGATTGGAACAGAGCGAGGGTTTGTGTAGCCCAGGGCAAGAGGAGTAGCGATAAAGATCGACCAGAGAACAGAAGACGCCATGGATAACAACTATTCTAACAGTTTACAACAAATCAAAGGAATGTGTCTTGACAATAACGAGGGAAATCAGTTATGGGATCAGGGGGATGACTATTGACCATCAGGAATGCTCCTTCCTGGCATGCTGGGTGGGAGGTACTTTATGCATGCCATCCACGGGGTCATGGACTCCAGGGGAAGGCCTATGATTTTACCCCATAGTAGGTGCAGGTAAGTACTGTGCATGGTCCCCATACGTATAAATATTGGCGACAGGCATTCTGTCCTTAATTTCAACAATATGTATGCCCCTGTTGATCAATGCACTAGGATACGTTCGATGCCTCTGAATGGTTCGGGCTGTGATCAGTTCGGTGTCACGCAGGATGTGGCGCTAAAAGTTCATTTACGTTCAATAGTTGTGATAATATAAACAGCCATCATGGGGCCACAGAAAGGCGATGATCTGCCTCAGATGATCTTCCAATTTGGTTCCACTTGGGTGACCCTTGTCGCGAAACAGTTTGTGATGTCCATGTTCGAGGGTTCTCGCAGACGGACCGAACGTTTTCCGGACTGTCACATACATAAAAAAAACTTATGCAGACAAACTCGTTAATTAATCACCCGTGTCGTGACTGAGCCTCAACAGTTTCGCATGACTTCGGCGCAAGACCGAGGATTGTCGGTGGTGATTTAATAAACAAAAGAGTTTCAAGATGAGCCGAGGTTTAAAGTCCAGTGATCCGCTGTACCGCCAATCAGAAGGCCTCCTAGACACCCAATCTTCAGGCCATGTTGAGAGTTGCATCCTTCACCACTCAGTTGGGGTGACAGAGAAGCGGACGAATTCCACCGGGAGCGCCCGAAATATCAATTGAGCTCCCTCAGGGCTGTTTTGTGGCGGAGAACCCGTCTGTCAAACTCACTAATTTTTTTTTTTTTTTGCCATCCTGGGGTGCAAGCCTAGATCTCATTGTCGCCATGCCGCGAGTCCCATCCTCTTCCTTCTTTCGGGCTGTCCCCACCACGACCAAGCTCTGTCTCAAGTCGAACGGTCCTATAAAAGCCCAATGGTTCCTGCATAGCCCTAGGAAGATTTCCCTACCTCGAAATCTTTCTCAGCGACTCTATTCTTCTGGTACTCCATCCTACCTCCACCCCAGATTTCACTGCTAATCACTCTATCCCTGCTTCAGAAGCTGCATCACCAGTTCCTCCTCAGACATCTAAGCCTCGGTCCCGTCTACGTCGATTCGTGGGCTTTACATCCATTGCATTAATAGCCTTCACAGCTGGACTCGTTTACCAAACCCAAAAAACCGTTTCTCGCATGATGACGGTCACTCTGCGGACAGATGAGGAAACCCTCACTGCATTCGTCCCCCCCGACCAGTTCTCGCAAGAGGTCGACGAATTCATCCGTAACCATCCAATAGCCGTGGCACTGCGAGAAAACCCCGCCTTCACCGAGTCCCGGCCGCATTTGAAAATCCCCGCTGAACTGCGCGACCGCCATCTGACGGCGGGCACCCTTTCGGGTCCAGATCGAATTGTTGTTCCGCCGCACGTGTTTTCCGAGAAGGACGGAAAGAGCCTGGTTTCAATCTTCTACCTCGGCTCTGCCATCAGTGGCCACTTGGGAATTGTCCACGGTGGCCTTCTGGCCACACTGTTGGACGAGGCGATGGCACGGTGCTGCTTCCCCGCTCTGCCGAATAAGGTGGGCGTAACGGCCAATCTAAACATCGACTACCGGCGCCCTGCTATGGCGGAAGCCTATGCTGTTCTGCGGGCTGAGACCGTGAAGGTCGAGGGTCGTAAAGCCTGGGTGGAGGCGCGCATTGAGACTCTGCCGAAGGAGGGTGAGGAGCCCGCGGTTTTGGTCGAGGCAAAGGCTTTGTTTATAGAGCCCAAACAAGCTGCGGTATGTTTATCAGTCCAAACAAATCAAGACTAGAAGCTAATATCCTTTTTTTTTTCAGGCCATGTCAAGTTTATACAATATCACTAACTAGAACTTCCGTTATCTTGAGATCGAGTCGATTTCTGGAAATCTAAATAACGTGACATATGCATTTATTGGATAGGCGTACAGATGGTTGGAGACTGGTTTGTTTCAGTGAAACTGTATATAGTGACTGTATAGTATTTAGTTTGGTTAGTTCTTAGACGTAGCCCAGCAGTATGCGAACAGGGCAATTCATATATGTTTTAATTGAACAATACTTCTTCCTCGAGGGCAGGACCGACCGTAATGGCTTTAGGTCACACATGCGAAAAGGCAAAATATAAGATACTGCACACTAAAGCGAAAAAATGGGACTGATTTTACTCATCGACAAGGTGTAAACATAAGCCGATTTAGTATATCATTAATAGGCGTGACCTTACCTGGCCGCCGACCGCCTCCCGGGATCCGCAGCTGGGAAGCTCTCCAACACCTTAACTTCACGACACCGACCGACGGCCGGACTTCCCAACCTCCCTCCTCCTTGTCCGCTTTCTCCACTCGACTGCCTCATGCCCGCTTGCTGAGCGTGGCAACAGGTCATTGCCTTCTACTCGATTAACCCCCCTTCTCTCCAGTACAGCTGAGACCTTTCGTCACCATGTCCAAACCCACCAAGTACATCCTCGTGTCCTTCCCCACTTCCATCACTCCGTCTAACCACCGCGACGACGCTCTCGACGCTGTCTCTGCCACCGTCACCCCGGAAAATGGATCGGTCGCCCCATTCCCTATTCCCGAGTTCAAGATCGGTACATTAGACGCCTTAGTACAGCAGGCCGATGAGCTGGCCAAACTCGAGAGCGCCTGCCAGGTTGTTGTATCGAAGGTCGGCGATGCGCTGAAGAATATCTTGGAGGGTGATGAATCGCAAATCAGCAAGATGAAGGCTGTGAATGACAGTATGCTTTGCTCCGGACAGGCGGCCCAGCATTGAACAAGGTGTTAACGTTGTGTCATTAGAGCCGGTGGATCAGTACCTGCGGACCTTTACGTGGAACAAAGTCAAGTATAGGGCCGATAAGTCTTTGGGTGAGCTTATCGACCTTCTCCAGAAGGTATGCCCCTTAAAATTGTCCAGCTGGTCGCTTGGGGTGTCTAACTGGGAATAGGAAGCTGCCAGCATCGACAATGACATCAGGTCGAAGTACTCCCAGTACAATCAAGTCAAGACCACCCTTGCCACTCTCCAACGAAAGCAAACGTGCGATATTCCCCTAATCTATACTAACGGGATACTGACGTCTATTGTAGAGGTAACCTGGCCACAAAGTCCCTCGCATCAGTTGTCGACCCCCGGAGTGTAGTCCAGAATTCAGAATACCTCGAGACACATCTTGTTGCCGTCCCAGCTCAACAGGTTAAAGAGTTCCTCAAGACGTACGAAACCGTGTCGCCCATGGTGGTACCTCGGTCTGCGACGTTTGTCGCTTCGGATGACGAGTTCACGCTGTATGCCGTCACGACGTTCAAGAAACACAGTTTGGAGTTTGTCCACAAGGCCCGTGAACACAAGTGGATTCCTCGTGAGTTCAAGTACGTGGAAGGTGGAAAGGAGGAGGAGCGCAGAGAAGTCGAGCGCGTAGGCGGCGACGAGCGCAAACTCTGGGGCGAGACACTGCGGCTCGGGCGGACAGCCTGGAGCGAGGCCGTCATGGTCTGGATCCATGTTCTCGTTCTCCGTGTGTTTGTTGAGACCGTGCTACGCTACGGTCTTCCTCTTGACTTCGTTTGCACTCTTATCCGGGTATGTATTTACAGCCAGTGGTCTTTACAGTTTAGGGCTAACATGATGTAGACACCGGGTTCCAAGCAAGCTGACAAGGCGAAACACAACCTGGATGAGAAGTACTCTTACCTCGCCGGGAATGCGTTCGGACGGGACAAGAAGGGTCGGGTCAAGAAAGACGACCCGAGCGAAGTACACGAGGGAGGCGGCGAATACACAGCATACGTGTACTATGAGTTCGAGCTCAATTAGGGGGGCAAGATCCTGTGGCTATCTGTCTGGGTACGGTACACTTGATACCTTGTTTTGTAGCGTATATACTTTGCTTACTTGCTTCGCATCATATCTTGGCTATCTCAACGAAACGCAATCGAAGACCCAAAAAAGGCGTAAAATTCTATGTATAGATCACCGATCTAACAGATCTAGTCCGCAAATATCCACAAGAACAAACCCATATATAACGGAAAACGAAACAAAAAATCATCTACTCCTTCTTAGGAGGCAAGTACCCCTGGGCATCCAAGTAATCCACAATCTGCTTCACAGCATCCTCAACCGGTAAATCATAGTTCTTGATATGCACCTCAGGCTTCTCAGGCTTTTCGTAGGGCGCACTGATACCAGTGAAATTCGGAATCTCGCCTGCCCTAGCCCTCTTATAGAGATTCTTGGGATCACGCTGCTCGGCAACCTCAATAGGGACATCAACGAAGACCTCAACAAAGGGCAAACCGGTCTCCTCGCCCGGGGTGGGGACTTGGTGCAGTTCGCGCGCGGTATCACGGTCTGCACGGTAGGGCGAGATGAACGAAGTGATGGCGATGGCGGAGCTGTCAGCGAAAAGCTTGGCGACCTCTGCGATCCGACGGATATTCTCATTGCGGTCCTTCTCGTTGAAGCCGAGGTCCTTGTTGAGTCCGAGGCGAACGTTGTCACCGTCGAGACGGTAGGCGTGGACGCCCCGGTCTCGGAGGAGCTGGTGCTCGAGCTCGACGGCAAGGGTAGACTTGCCCGAGGCGGAGAGACCGGTGAGCCAGATTGTGAGACCGCGTTGGTTGCGGAGTTCGCTACGTTCGCTGCGCGTCAAGGCGCTGGCGTGGAAGGTGAGGTTTCTTTTGGTGGTTATGTTAGTGACTGCGGGATGGAGGGGCATATGCATGGTGGGGAGGGGAGAGTTGTATGGACATACGTGGCCTTGGTTGTCATTGTTGCGGAGGGTTATGGTGGATTGGATGAGGATAGTGGTTTTAGGAAAGAAAAGCAATTGAGGAGATTGAGGATATTTTTTTTTTTTTTCAATTCAAGTATTGTGATGAGGAATCAGGAGGGGTGAAAAGGAAAGGACGTGGCTGTCAATGCCGAACCATGAAACAGCGGGGCGCCGATCGCGGGGGTTCGTTCCTTCGGTGTGCGTATGCTGCTGCATAATCATAATCTATTTTACTAAAAATTAAAATCATGATCATCCAGGTGTTTGGATATACATTCTTGGCTTGAACAATTGTCACACCTGTTTTTTTTTGTTTCGGTATTTCTCTTTGTTTTTCTTATTTCTTTGTTTTCCTTTCCCGTCCTCCTTTAGAAGCTGCTTAACGTTGTATAATCACGTCACATGGGCCCTGCATCATGATACCCTTAGCTTGCTCTTTCCCTGCATATCTATGCCCCTCTTCTATGTACTTGATCCCAACAGATACCCTCCACCTGCCAATACAACATCAATACACTACTAATTCATCGCACTAAGTGCTCATGAAGTGAAATCAAACCATGAAGCCAATAAAAGGCAACCGGTGCCGATCAAATGAACTTACTGATCCTTTATAGAGATGGCAGTCCAGTAGCCCAGACACTACATCAGCCCAAATACTCCACTCACTGTCAGACAGACTCTGAAGAAGGATCAACTCGAATCTACCGACTCTACGTGGGGGGATCTCTTGGCGCTTTGGCGCTCTGAAAGGATAAGCGATAGAAAAGGATGGAGACTCTTGGCCGGACTTGGGGGTTGAGTATCCCACTCTGTCTCTGCGATGCCTGCCAATTTTTGCCAGTGATCGAGAGAAACTCAGTCGACAATAGTCAAAAGCCATCAATTTCTTATTATACGCCCTCTATAACCTACAGATGCTCAATGATTTGAGACCAGTGATTCTTCTGCCAACCAATAATCTATTGATGGCCGATGACTCCTTTGTATGCCTAGGGCTCTTGTGCATATCAATGGCATTGAGCTAAATGGTTGACCTCAGCGATTCTACTAATCCATTAACCAGAGATAAGCTCGGGCATAAGAAGCCTTGATCTAGACACCATTATATGGTTACTCGCGCGACTCTTGAAACGATACTGTCAAGGGCAGAAGACAATTCACTCGATGCTTTTAATGAAGAAATAATTCAACCGGAAAAGAAAAGCGTTGGAAGATTCTTGGAGATCTTGATGTACTAAAATCGTCAGCGCCGGTCATTAGCTGTTTTAGACTATCAGAGTGTTGGACAGAAACAACAAGGCAGGTTACAGACTCCGAAAAGACACAAAACAGCTGTCGCCTGATAGGGAACCTTTGAGAAAAGTGTAACTGTCAATTTCCAGGCTTTCGATGCTAGTAATCAGGTCAACCTGAGCCAATATGCCAATCTCAAACAACTCCTTTTACTAATCATTTTTGATTTTAGATTCATCAAGCACAGGGTTACTTTCCCACAACTTGGGTGATCGAGTTGACATGGTACAGTATTGGAGCTCTCAAAGGAAGAACTCGGAAGTAAGCATCCAGATATCTACGTGGGCAGAAATTCCGCTACCGGGATGCTCCTTAGTGAAAAAGACAAGCAGTCGTTTGTCGTTCATATTCAAGTATCCGACGGCGCAGCGGCTAGACACATGCCCAGCTCCACTAGCGCATACGAAAATGCAACCCTAGCTTTTTATTTGATTCAGAATTGGGGTCAAGGGTCAAGATATACAAACTTAATTCGTCCTCAATATATTTTTGGTTTTGTCCGCTATGCAGGATTGGTTTTCCCTTATCCTATGGAGATATGTACCCATTATGGACTGTGACAGGGTAGCCTGCAGTGTGATTTCGCAAACACAGCTGAGAGGGCAGACAAGGGTAAAGGTGGGGTAGTATACTACGCACGGGGAGCTAGGCTGAGCTGACACGTAAGGCAAACAGTGAAACCCCTCATGGGTGTCCGGGGCCTTTCAAGGATGTCTATCCCTCTCTTTTGCGGCAAGCACCAGCTCTTCTAACTACCTTCCATATGATCGGTCCACACATTGCGAGGCTAAGAAAGCTTCGGGGCGTCAATCTTTGCTCATGGTGTATGGGCTGCTTCTTTTGTTAGAATCAGGCTTATATTTGTCCCGCTTAATGTCATTATGCCAAAGAACCGTCGCCTCCGGCAGCTATTGGACTTTCGCCATTCCCGTGAGAAAGCGAGCACAGACGCAGATCCTGCAAGACTTACTACCTTTCATGGACATGACACTCGTTTGGAGTCATCAGACACCCAGTTACAAAGCAGTGGTTCAAGGCGTCATCGCTCGATATCATGGTTGAGAACCTCAAATCGCTATAAAATCAAAGATGCAGAAACAAATCCCACCATATTCGATCAAGAAACAGCAAACACTCGGCAATACTCGAGTCACACAAAGCATAATGATGAACTTGGTACCAAGGAAGGAAAAGTAAGTGGCTCAGAAGAATCAAATAAGACTGCGCAAATGACCCCGGTTAAAGAGGAGGAAGAACGACAAGACAAAGCGAACATTGCAAAGCTGGGAGAAAAGATGACGAAGGATCTGTGGAGTGAGGCATATATGAAGCTCCACAACGATAATGCTAGTTTAATCGAATCATATGAGAACGTCTTGCTGGCTACTGAGACCTATCAGATTGTTGAAAGATCTCCGACTAAGCAGGAAAAAACAGATCGACAAAAGAGACTCCAAGACCTTGTTTTCTGTAGACTCCAGGATATGGAACAAGGTCGGTTTGATATTCCGAGAAGAAGTAGACAAAGTGTTATTGGGGATTATGTTCGTCGTACTGTTCATGGCATTCTCTATGCGAAAGACTTCATTACAGCAGCAATTAGCGCGGAGCCCCATGCTGCGCTTGCATGGGCTGGGGTCGTGATGGTGCTCCCAGTAAGCGATTCCTTTTCACTTTGTCTCTCATGACATAACACTAAAACCATATTTAAGCTGTTCTTGAAACCATTCACCCAGCGTGAAGATGCTGTGGCAGGACTCGAGTTTATTTCAGATCTTTTGGTCCGATATCAGGTTATCCAGAGCTCACATGCTCGAATGTATATGGATTCCCTAGGTAAAAGGTACATATATGGTTTGCTCCACCGTTCACTGTCAATGTGGCAGGATCTACCTGGTAATAAATTTTAAAGTCATATTCTAAGGTCATGATATAGTACTTCTGAGGATGGATCCAAGGTTGGCCTTCGGCTCAGAGAAAGGACTATTACTTTATACTCTCAAGTATTGGAGTACCAGATCCGACTGACGAAGCAACTCTCTCGCTACGGACTTATCCAGTACATGAGAGATATTGCAACCGCTGATGACTGGAAGGAAATGCTTACGGAAATCAAGCACACTGACAAGTCGATCGAAGAATTATTAGGGGATTGGTCAAAGAAGACGGTCCAGGAGATCCATGCCGAGCTTTTCTCAATGAAACGTGAGGTCGAAGGGCGGCTGAACATTGTCTTTGACATCATGAACGTAAGATACTGTTCCGAGGTCGACTATCCACACATCATAACTTAATGATAAATCTAGACCCAAGCATATCAAAATCAACTGGACACCCTCCATCCAGTTACGCGCGCTGCCTTTGGCTCATATGAACAAGCTAAGGAAACATGTCTTGTCGGTACTCAGGTGCCTTTACTTCAACTAGTTCAAAATTGGAGCAACGATGCCCAGGGAGAACCTATTCTGTGGCTCCAGGGTATGGCCGGTACTGGCAAGTCCACAATTGCCCGAACCGTGGCTTCTGCATTCTACAACGGAACATCTTTATTAGGTCAGGAAACCCTACCCAGTGAGGCGTGTCTTGGTGGCAGCTTTTTCTTCGACCACAGGGATGAGGACTGTAGAAATCCTAGGAAACTCTTTCCCACCTTAGCAAGAGGCCTAGCTGAGGTTCTACCGGAAATTCAGCAATCCTTATGTGATGGTATTCGTAGCCATCATGCCACCTATGCACAATCCTTAGATGCCCAGTGGAAACATTTGATCTTCAATCCTCTGAAGATGCTGAAAACGGCGCTTCCTGTGACAATACTTTTTGTTCTCGATGCATTGGACGAGTGCCAAGCTGGAACTAGGGAGGATCAGGATGACATCAGCGATATACTGGCTCTGCTCAGTCAAGTTCGGGAGTTAAAGACCGTCAGAGTTCGGGTACTCATTACTAGTCGTCCTGAAACACATATACGTTATCGCTTCAATGAGATACCAGAAGGTATTCGTGACGAAACTGTGTGCAAAATCCGACGGCTAGATGGCGACGAAGTAACGACAGATGATATCACCCGTTTAGTTGAATATAGGTTGTGGGAAATTAGAAGGAAGCACGATCTCCCGCGGAACTGGCCTGGGGAGGAGAGGATCGAACAGCTAGCTGAGAACGCAGATGGGCTGTTCATATATGCAGCCACAGTGTGTCGATTTCTTTCAACGGCCAACAGAAAAACGATTGAAGATCGTCTAGGGAGGATCCTCGACGGCGATGTGGGAGAGACCGCCAAAGAGAGCCTGGATGGAATGTACACTAGAATCCTCCAGGTAGTGCTTACTGGAGAAGTGGACAATGACCAGGCAATGTCCGACTTATTTAGGCAAGTAGTTGGCTCCATTCTTGTTCTATCCAGACCGCTTTCAATCATGGCCCTAAGCAGACTTATTGAAGTCGAGCTTAGCGACACAAGATGGCTTATGGAGCACCTTTATTCGGTCCTGGAAATGCCTCAAGGGGATCACGGCCCCATTCAATTGCTACATCTATCATTCAGGGATTTTCTTCTAGCCTCTCAGCGATGCAAGGATAGTCATTTTTGGATCGATGAGAAGCAATCTCATCGCAACCTTTACCAGCACTGCCTGAAGGTCATGTCTAATACCCTACGGCGTGATATATGCTGCCTTGAGGAACCCGGTATTCATGTGACAGATATAGAACCTTCAGTCGTGCATGAATTCCTTCCCGAGCAAGTGCAGTATGCCTGTAGTCACTGGGTGGACCATCTTCAGCAGAGCGATATTGTGGCGTCTAATGACGCAGTGCTTTATGACTTCCTGCGAACACACTTTGTCCACTGGCTCGAAGCTATGACTATTATGGGAAGGATCCCAATCGCAATCATGATATTAAATAACCTAACCACTCTTCAGGTAAATGCCTCATAACCTCGGCGCTGGAGTTATGCTAATGGATGTAGCTGGAGACCAACACAAAAATGCGGAGACTTGTTCATGATGCACGACGGTTCGCTGTCAGCTTCAGATCAGTGTATGAGAAAGCCCCTTTGCAAATTTATGCATCTGCTTTGCTCTTTGCACCACAAGAAAGTATCATTCGATATGAGTTTGGAGAAGAAATTCCTGCTTGGATATCTCAGAAGCCAAGTGCTCATCGATATTGGAGCCCATTACTGCATACCATCCCAAAGCCTCGCAGTGAGATTATCGAATGCTTAAAAATCTCAGCTGACAGCAGGCTAATGGCAGTGGTATCTAAGCATATGTACTCACATGTGTGTCGGTTATGGGATACGTCAACTTGGGTTTGCCTGAAATCGCTTGAAGATCAAGGTAACATTCGAGATGCTGCCTTTTCACCAGACAGCAAGCAATTAGCAACCGTATCGGAGGCCGGATCCGTCCGTCTCTGGAATACACACACTGGAAGATCAACGTTTCTCGAATCAGATTCAAGTGCCATAACCTTTGTGGCATTTTCTTCAAATGGTGAAAGGCTCGCAGCTAAATCTAACGAAGAGATCAAGATCTGGGACTTATCATCGGGGAGACTACTACAAGGAATACCCCAGAAAAGGAGCACAATGATATCCATCTCCCCTGATGGCAGATTTATAGCATCTTGGGATTCTCTTGATGTTGTCATTTGGAACGTTTCACAGATGGCGGTTGTACACGCTCATAAGCAACCGGGGGTCCATACGATCGAATTCTCCCCTGAAGGTAACTTACTAATTGCATCCAAGGATGCAATTGAACTGTGGGATTGCAATGCAAATACTTTGCGATCTTATAACAATAGTGAGTGCAAAACGTTGGTCGCGGGTTTCTCGCCCAACAGCAAAAACATTGTCTCTCTCTCAACAAACGGTCAAGTCAACGTATGGGATTTGTCTACAAATGAATACAGAGGAAATATATACCATATAAGTGACTCAGAAAATCCCGACCCATACTGCCGAAGAGTGTCATTTCCACGATTCGGTGAACTCGCGGCTTCTTCGGTGGGCGATGGACCGAAACAGATATGGACACTCGTCCCGGGGATCTTGGCAGAATTATTCAGATTCTCCAACAGAATACTGGATGCACTTGCATTTTCGCCAGATTGTGAGATTATAGCAGCCTCTGGTTGCTGGGCAGAAGAGATTGCGATCTGGGATGGATCATCAAAGGTTTCGAAGGTGCTTGATAATGTACATCAAGATACCATTACTGATCTGGGCTTTTCTTCTAATGGCACTGTTGTTGCATCGACCGCCAAAGATGGCACAGTCGGACTCTGGGAAGCGCGATCAGGAAGGTACATAAAAAGTCTGCGAGTGGCGGATGATTCAGGGATTCTGAGCATACGTTTCTCAGCCGATGGTCAAACCATAATATGCCAAACGAATAATCAGCAATGTGTTATCTGGGATGTACCGACGGGGAAAATTTTGAAGAATATTGAACTCAAAAGGGATAATTCGAGGCTCCAAAACATTGCAATATCACACGATGGTCAACTAGTAGCAACCGGATGTTTTGATGAGCGGAAAGACACGAGTCAGATTGAGCTGTGGAGCCTGACATTGACAGAGCCTCTCCTCACACTCACAGAAGAACTCGATACTAGTGAAAATGAGATTTCTCCCCATGGAAGTTTCATAGCGTCAACTTACTATGGATCTTCATCATTCCGGCTTCGGCATATACAGACAGGAAACCTGATACACTCCATGGACCATGGAGAAAAATCTCCAGTCATTGCATTCTCTCCAAGTGAGGACATGATTGCATCAGCAGAGCAGTCCATCAAATTATGGGATACTTCCACTGGTACATGCCTCGGGCAACGTTTAATCGACGGTCGTGTTGAGTCTATGGTCTTCTATGAAGATGGAACGTACCTCCGCACCAACGAAGGTCAGTTCCAAGTTGCTTCGATCCTCGGTGCCGACCCCGATTTGTGCAATGATAAGATGGTAGGGGAGGGGGTATACGTTCATGATAACTGGGTCATGGAAGGGGGTAAGAAACTTATATATCTACCTGTAGAATACAGGGTTCGTATATGTTCTTTTGGAAATCGTGTTGCTATAGCTAGCAAATTGTCTTCTGTCATGATCATTGGGCTCAGTGCGGATGAGAGAAAAACGATATGAGGGTGTCTGGCACCAAATTTTATCTAACGTATATGAGGAACAATGTTATTTATTCTCTTTGTCATATCTTCTAATCTCAAATTGGGTACCCAACAGGACACCAATACTCCACCTCCTCCTTTTGCTCGTGTATATATTTGTGATCAGGTTAAAACAGTGATGGTAAAAATCAAAGGCCCAATTTTTGGTCCATCGTCTCTCGCGTGGGATTAAATAGGGCTATATTCAATGCTAGTAGTTACTATTGGCATCTTCCAGGGAACGCCCTACTCTACTGTTCAACACACTGTATTCTATCTGCCTCCCAGCTCTCACATGTACAAAGCTTTATGCTCCAATATCCCAGCACTAATTCAATGGTTTTCCCTCCGCTAAGCTGATCACCTTCTTCGCAGCCCCTTCAAAGCTATCAAAAGCATGAAGCGGAAGCCCACTCTCAGCGATCTTCTACAGTCAGTACCACTCACATTCATCTATCACGGCATGCACTCACCATCTTCTGTCCCCCTTCCTCGTTAGTCCCCCGCAATCGCACCACCACCGGCACACTCATATGCAAATCCCTAAAGGCCATAATAATACCCTCGGCGATCATATCACACCGCGTCAGCCCGCCAAAGATATTGACAAAAATAGCCTTCACCCGCGGGTCGGATGTGATAATCCGGAACGATGACTTGACCGTCTCGGACGTTGCCTTGCCTCCTGTATCCAGGAAATTGGCGCAATGGCCGCCGTGAATGGTGAGTGCATCTACTGTGTTCATTGCTAGTCCGGCGCCGTTGACTATTCATGTTAGTTTGGGGCCTTTTATTTGGATTTGTAGCACGACGTACCTAGAGTTCCGATGCTGCCTTCTCCCTGTAATCTATGGTGTGTTAGTGCCATGTTCTGCATTTCGAGCTGTTGGTACCGAAACATACTTTACGTAGACTATGCCGTCTTTCTCTGCTTCAACTTCTTCGTGCACTTCTTCTGCCTGGTTCCGCAAACTGTGGACTTCCTTCTGGCGTCCTGAGCTTCGGAATGCGGCGTCGTCGAAGCCGAAACGTGCGCCTCGGACTTCCAGTCCTTCTGGGGATGGGTTTACTCGGACTTCTAATAGATAGGCTTCTTTTTCTTTGAATATTTGCCACAGTGCTTGGACTAGTTCCGCTAGTTTCTCGTGTGTGGTGTCGGGGAGTTTAAGGTGAGAAGCGATGGATTTGACGGTTGGTGAATTGCCGCTGCTGAAGTCTGTGTTGGCATAGGGGAAAGGAAATTTGCCAGTGTGCAACGGCGCGAAATCGGCAGTTGTTGAAGCTATGACGCATGGTGACAATGCTGTTCTATCGACCGTGAGATTTAGAAAGATGTCGGATTCTGAGGGGTTTGATTCGTTGACTGAAATGGACTTTTCCTTCAACATGTCCAGGGCCTGGAACTGCTTGATGAAGAGGGACCGGGTCTGGTTTGATGCAGATGCTCTTTGGCTCTTTTGTAGGGATACGCGCCTCATTGTGTGTAGACTTCTTCTCTGGTTTGGGGCGGTGGTAGACTGGGATATTGTTAGTGTCTTCAACACGTTTGATATAGCGTCTTGTGAAGGCTTACCGTCGTGTTCTGAACCCGTGGTCGACTATTCAGTAGAGTCTTCATTCCTTCGCCGAACTTCTCTGGGTGGTTAACCATGACTGCGCCGGCGCGCTCGAGGGCTTGGTACTTCGTGTTTGCATCCGGTTCCCCAATCGCAGTCCATGCACCCGCGTGGCCCATGATTCGTCCTGGGGGGGCGTGCAATCCACCAACTAGGGCCATGACCGGCCTTGTCTTCCAGTTAGTATCAAAGCAATTAGTAGATCGAGGAATAAGTCACATACTTAGGATTCACTGTTCTTCTGTTGTAATCCCTGATCCATTCTGCTGCGTCCATCTCCGCCGTTCCACCAATCTCGCCCACGAGAATGATACCCTCCGTATCGGGGTCATTCTCAAAGATCCTCAGGGCATCGACGAAATTAGTCCCAGCCAAGACGTCCCCACCCATACTGATACAGAGGCTCTGCCCCAGGCCAGCTCGTGTAGTCGACGCAACAGTCTCATAGCTCAAAGTTCCCGATTTCGCAACGATACCGATCTTCCCCGGAGAAAAGCACGGCAACGGCTGGAATCCTATCCGACACTTCCCAATTGCAGAGATGATGCCGGGGCAATTGGCCCCAACTAGTCTCGTTTTGGACTGTGTCTGAAGCATGGAGTGGATCTGCGGAGCATGGTGTAAGCATGGGCCTGTGTGCATTCACTGTAGAATAGCAATCATACTCTGAGAATATCATGGATAGGTACATGCTCCGCCACGGCCACGACGAGAGGAATCTCAGCTTCAATGGCTTCTTCAATTGCCTTCGCTGTCTGGTTCCCCGGTACGTAGATGGCTGATGCATCGGGCTTCTCCTTTTCTTGGGCCTATTTCAATCAGTAATTGACTCGTACAGTTAGAATTGGTTGGGAATTCGTACCGCTTTCACGGAGGGGAACACAGGAAGTCCGAGGTGCTCGCCTTCGACTCCTGGCTTTACGCCTCCGACAATCTTCGTTCCCCAGGCCAATGACTCTTTTACGTTGGCAGTGGCCTGGTTGGTTAGTTATTCTGCTTGGTTCCTGATTCTGGTGGTTTTCACTGTACCTGTCTGCCTGTAATTCCATATTAGTATATTTTATCGGAAACTTTCTCATACAAAGACTAACTCACCTGTAAACCCCTGAAACAGAACCCTGGTATGCGCCCCAATCTTCAAGTTCGGGAGCGTATCAGCATAGGAGTAACTCCGCGACGAGGTAGAGAACCCATTCCCAGATATCCGTGAGAAGGACACCCTCCGCACCCGCGCAGGGAGAGATCGCAAGTTCGTCATTTTGCGTCTCGAATACCACTTGTGGATGTATCAGTGAAGTACCCGGTGGCCGCGTTCTGAGCACCTAAGTACTAGCCACCCTGATGATATCCGCTTGAGAATGACCAGTAATGGAGACGGAGTAGTGAAATTAAACACTCTTTGAATATCCACAAGCTAGCGTCCAGCGACAGTAGAATCTAAGAGAGAAGGCACAGTGCCTGGGGAGGTAGATTTGAAGAGGAGAAACAATACCTCGGGAGATGGAGAGTGTGGGTGCCGGTCTCGGACTTCGCACCGATTGTTTCCGAGGGTTTGCGGGCGCCCCGTAATGGATTGTGATTGGTCCTCTCGGAACTGTGGTGCGTGGTGTCACTCGGAACGTGTTCTGTTTTTCTTGGCGAATCGATTATGGGTTGTGTTTTCAATGTTGGTGTGGTTGTGATCTTTCATTGGTTATATAATTCATTATCGAAGTTTTGCTTGCTTCTCATGGATGGAGTGTGTGTTCATAGGGGGCCAGATCCAGCAAGTATCACTGGTTTGTGAAATTCTAAGCATCTTAAGACCAAAAGATATATATTAGTTCCAAAGGAAAGGCACATTGATAGACCAATGTGCATTCGGGAACATGTCACTTCTTTGTTTATATGTAACGTATTCCCGACAACAGTATCTCCCTACATTGTAGTCCTTTGGTCGATACTATGTGAGTCCAAGTCTTTGGCCTATAATCTTATCATTTTTAGATAATTACAGTCGCTTTCCTGTGGAGTAGGACGAGGAACTATCGGACATATGCATACTTAAATTCCAGATAGTTAATCGTGATTGGTTTCTCTACCAGCTTATCCCCGGGACAAGTGCAGGTACATGAGGCTAGAGGGCGCATTCGCTGATTACAAACCAACAACGCAGGATTATCAAAGCATACAAGCATTCAGGGCCTGACATGACTAATTGCATTCTATAATACTCAATAGCCATAACTAGTATACGCGACGTATTTCTTGATAGTTTGCAACATGCAGCGCAATGCGCAAAGATCGAACCTTCATCTACTCTTAAAATGAAAGCCATTGTTCTGAATGGCACCACCGCTACGGTGGTGAGCTCACGGCCCATCCCTAGGCTTCGTGACGACTACCTTCTCATTAAAACTGTGACCGTTGCCCTAAATCCAACTGACTGCAAGGCGATCAGTCAGGGAAGAGGGGCGAAACATGGCCTAGCTGGCTGCGACTTCGCCGGTATTGTCGTAGACATCGGACCAGCTGTCAACAAGCGTTGGAATAAAGGTGACCGGGTGTGTGGCTGTACTCATGGTGCTAATAGCCGGAATCCAGATGATGGGTCATTCGCAGAGTTTATCGTTGCAAAAGGGGATGTCTGCATCAGAATGCCAGATAGCATGAGCTTCGAAGAAGCGGCTGGTATCGGCGTCAGTGCGATTACATGCGGTCAAGGTCTATTTCAGAAACTGGGGCTGAATCTCCCCCTTGATCCCATTCAACGGAAAGAGTACATCCTGGTTTATGGTGGTAGCACGTCGGCGGGAACTCTTGCCATCCAATATGCCAAGCTGTAAGCCCGTGTCCTGCTGACTTGATATGAGTACGCGGATTCCTAACAAGATATATAGGGCCGGCTATTCGGTCCTCACAACTTGCTCCCCTAGGAATGTAGATCTGGTCAAATCACGCGGCGCTGAAGCAGTCTTTGACTATAACGATCCATCATGTGGGGAGCAGATCCATCGTTACACGAAAGGGGAACTCCAGCTGGTCTGGGATACAATCGGTTCCGAACAAGGAGTTCGAACCTGCATGACCGCTCTGTCAACGAATCCCGGGTGCCGATACGGTACCATTCTACTTAATGATATCCCACGACAAGATGTCGCCCGTACCCGGAGCATCATGATGACGTTTCGCGGTGAACCTTTCGACTTGTATGGCAAACATTTCCCGGCAAGCGCTGAGGACTTTGAGTTTGCGAAGATGTTCACCCAATTGACGGAAACACTTCTCGCTGAAAACAGGTTGAAGCCTCATCCAGTCAGAATCGGTGAAGAAGGTTTGCAAGGCGTACTAGAAGGTGTGGAGTTGGTGCAACAGGGGAATGTGAGCGGCGTTAAATTGGTGTATCGAGTTGGCGACACGCCTTGATGTTTGTAGGTAAGGGTTGTGTTCCCCACAATCCAAGATTGCGTACCCGGACTAAAGTAGTGGTTCGGCATGAAAATATAAGCATGGATGCCTACCATGTTAAATTAGCCTTCTCTTTGTTCATACCCTTTGTTGACCCCTGCCATTGGAACGATGTCAATCCGGGGTGATATCAAGGCACGCTGTCGATCATCCTGTCCATGTGACTTTCATGTACAAGCAATGTAGAATAAAGGGCTTGCGATTGGTCGGGGGCCTTCAATAATGAGATTTGCCTCAGGATGAAGTCATATTTGCTCATAAGAACTTTGTACATATTAGTACCTTCAGAAGAACAACAACATATGTGGACGGGGATCTTCTCGGTTGATACAGGATTTGGATGGTTAAAAGCCAACCCATTGACTTACACCGAATGCTGTGGCGTCAAGGGTTGGCCAAGGGGGATTGACTAGTAATGCCAATAAACGTACAGAAATGCTCTAAAGTGTAACCAATGGGAAAACAAAACAAGAGGAAGGAGAAAGATCAGATACATTGAAGGAGGTAAAATCGGACCTTCCATGCTGGCATATAAGTAGTAGTTCTCCTGCGCATGTAGTAAAGGATCCATTCATCCGGCAGCAGGTGTCCTTGTCAGGTGCTCTCTCCAAGACCTCTAGATTCATGAACAAAGCGACTGTTCTGGACGTCCCCGGCACAGGCCAATGGAAGCGGACGGCCGAAGGAATGGTGGGGTTCAACTTCTCCACGACTGACGACATTCATTATTTCCACCCCCAATGCTATTAATATCCTCTCTTCCGTCAATTGCGGATCTTTGAAACGGCTGTCGACTCCGACCATCTGGCCGACTATTAAGAGAAACAACTGACATGGCAAAGCCCGGTCCAGAATCCAAGGGTCCGTGATTATCCCTCGCAACCATTGACCCTGTGCGGCCTGCTTTTTACTTTCCCTCCCAACCCAAAAAGTTATACTTTGCCCGCTCTTTGGGCAACTACTATCTCAACTTTCCACACTCCTAACCCCTTCTGACACCTATATATTACTATTTATTATTTTTTATACATTTCAACCTCACTGACAAACCGCCCTTAATGTCTATTTCAGAAGCCACCACAACGGAGCTCCAATCATCCCTCCGCGAACTCTCCCTCAGTACCAATAGCCCCGTGAAGGACATTGCCCGCCCGGCGGTGAAAACCACCACGGCCAAGGCAGCAAATCCCAAGAAGAAGGCCCCCGTTGTGGCCGACTCATGGGAAGACGAGGCGGACGAGTCGGAACCGGACATCAACTCCCCAGGATGTGCTAGTTCATCGCTGTCGCCATCCGTCACCACCGCAGAGGGGCCCTTAGATCCCCCGCCCACTCCGATTTCCCCCCAGACCTCCCAGACATGGGGCTCTGTGCCGGTGTATCCTAATTCTGGCGGTGTGTCGCCTCGGACGTCGGATTCCAGGTCCCCGTCCCGGAGGCCGGAGAAGCAGACTGCTGTTGCGGGGAGATTGATTGCAGGTGCTTTGGGGCTTCGGGCCCCGAAGCGGACGGAGGAGCAGCGTGCATATGATCGTGCTGTGAAAGAGAAGGAGATCAAACGGCGTAATCAGGAGCGGGAAGCGGCGGCTAAAGCTAAGGAGGAGGAGGAACGGGCGAAGACTGCTGTTTGGGATGATTAGGATTCTCTCTGTTCTATTTGCCGTTTATATCTCTGACATACGTGACACTGGCTCTTTTAATACCGTTCTTTTCTCTCGATGTCCTGTATAGTGCGGTGTGATTGCTTGTCCTTTACATGGGAATGCTTGGTTGAATCCTTCGTAGGTGTTTTATATTGAGGTATAGTACAAGGGTGTACGGCACGCCCGGTTTTACTTGTGTTCTTTGTGTGAATTTCCTAGAGTCTGATCTGGATCAGACAAACGGCAAGGACAATAACACGACTACTAGTTCTTAACTACGGTGACCAGAATTTGTATGCTTAACCCTAGGGAGAAGTACTGTGTCGTAAGTAGTTAATTCGTAATACTTAGATAACCTATCCACAGCCCAGCATGATTTTGGTTCGCTCGTGTCTAAGCTTTTCTAAGCTTAAATCAAGCCCGTAGGCGACCCCGTCCCAGCTAAAGCCCGACCGGGCCAACGCTAACACCATTGCGCCTGTGTGTCTCAAAATGCGACGGATGAAGGAAAAAAAAAGGAAGTGACAAGAAGTGAAACACAAGTCGTGGTACGGGCCTCCTAACCTCCGATCTGCTCCTGGTGAACTTCCAAGGTATCGCCGTCGGCCATATCCAGCTAAAGTGGGGTAAGAAACGGATGTTAGCCAGGTAATCTGAGGCGCAAAGTGTGGAGGTAAGGTAAACATACAGTTTCTGGCGTGTCTTCCGGGCGTACACGAGTTCCGTCGAACAAGAAACGGACAGTAGAAATTTGCTTCCCTTGACGCTCACAGAACGCGTCCATCAGCTTTTTGAGCTGCGTCGAACGCTTGATCTTGAAAAACACTTCGTTGTTGTTATCGGTCACTTTGATGTTGAGGTGTTCAACGGGAGTGGTATCTCCAGCGGGGAGTCCTGCGTCGGCCATTTTGGAACTGTGAGGGCAAAAAGGATTTGCGATGAGCGTGAAGTAGGTGGCGTATTGCTGTGTTTGAGTGGATTGTCAGCTCTGGTGCGATAGTTTCGTCGCAACAGGTGGCGGAGAAGTGAGAGTTGACAGAGATAGAAGAACTTACATGGAGGTAATCAAGGGTTCGGCGATGATGAAAAGACACCAGATGACGGAAAGGGCTCAGCTGAGGACGTAGTAATAGAAAAGCTGAAGATGCGAATGGATAGATGTCAATGGGCTGGCAGCGATGGGAAGGCGACCCCCACCACCGGCAATCAATGAATACTCACGGATAATCTATTTTGCGGCGCAGGTCCTGATTCCGGTTCTTTCTATGTATATGGCTTGTTTGTTGTGTGGCTGAATCCCTGGCAGTTCACGTTTCATTACCCTTGGGGATTTATGTGTTTGTTTTTTTTTTCTTTGAAAGGATTTATAATTGCATAGTGATATATAAAGTCGGCTTAACCAACAAGTTACTTTTCTTTTTCCTTTGTTTCTGATATTGCTGTTCCTGGATACCATTGCGTCATGGTAAGAGACTCAGAAGACGAAGTGATATTCCACTTGAATCAGGAGTGACAAATAATATAGGGAGGACTCAAAGAGGATCTGGCATACGACCCTCCATGCCATCCACGGGCGGTAAGTTTGGTCTCCTTCAGCCATCCGCGGTGAACTCTTTGCTGATGAGCCAAGTGCGCAATTCAAAGTACTACTGAGACCAACCGCCCCCGGATATATATAGTTCATGATGTTCATGACTAACCATTGCAGGCTGTTTAACGAAGAACTCATACCAGGAGGAAAAGTGCCAATCTCAGATAAATGCCCTGTATGAATGCTGTAACGCCTTCTACCAAGCTCAAGGGGAGGATGCGAAGACACCGAGTTGCCCCAAGCCCAGTCTGCTCAAGCTGAGGATGAAACAACGCGGTCAAAACTGAGAAAGTTTTTGCTCTTTTCCCTTGCATGGATGCTTCTTGTCCATGGTAACAAGACCTGTACATATTACTGTCCATATATGAACTACGAGCTGCTAAGCCTGGGCCAAACATAAAGTACCCCAGAGAGGAATAGAAATAAAGTTGTACGAAGCGATGTGACAATCCCTTTGCAATCTCAGCCCTCATGCGTCAGGAGGTTCTAGACTAGTTATAAGAATTGCCATAATTCCTCTAAGACAATCTTGAGCACGCAAAGAGGCCGATTGACCTGAACGAAGATTGAAGCGCTCGTTCCGAGACTCTAATGATTGCCTATAGACATTTGATGAAGAAAAAGAAAAAAAGAAGAATGAGAAAAAAATGTTGAGGATTTTTAAATGCGTGTGCTGGCCGACAGCGCTAAACTCAATCGGAGTTAGCGGGCGGTCGGCCCCAAAACACGCCCGTTCAGCATTCGAGCAGAACAGAAGTTCTTCCCCCAAACCCTGTTTAAAGCTACAGATTCTCATCAAGCGGAGCCGCACTGAAAACTGTTGTGAGAACAGCGACGGTGGTCATTCTCACGCGCCATGGCTCCTTTAATAAAGCCCGCGGGGTCCGCTGGCTTTACGTCAGTAAATGTGAGTTTATTTGTTTTCGCGACTACTTCTTTTGGCGGTGCGCCAACTATTTTCTCTCCCAGGCTGCCCGAGGGTCGACATCGAATGACCCGGAGATCATCGAGATAGACGACGACGATGACGAACCAATGGATGACGAAGAAGACATCGACGCCAATGAACAAGATGATGAGGATATGGAAGAGGAAGAGGAGGTAGAAGAGTACGAGGAGGATGAGGAGTACAACGATTCGGTTGAGGAGACGAATGGAATAAACGGCGGCAGTGAGTCGCTGTTAGACCTTGGTCCCTTCCAAAATGGTCACAGTACGGCTTATCTCTCAATATATTGGCTCCGGTGAAAGGCTGACGGTCTTTAGAAGCGTTCGACATGACAACTCCGGAACTATTCACATCTGCTGGCGCACAGCAGGCATTGCATCCTCTTCGCCGAACCGCGGATCGGGTCACGCGCCAAATCGAGGCATTCGCAGAAAAGCTCGACCGTTTCAAGCAAAAAGAGAACCGTGATAGCGAGTTGGAGAATTACCAAGCTGCCTACCAATTGGTGAAAAGCTATCAAAATCTTGCAAATGATTCTATCGAGGATATCTCTAAACAGAACACTCTGAGGCGCGCAAAGATGGGGTGGAATACCGGCCGAACCAATGGAACAGCGGCGCAGGATCCCAAGACACAGGAGGAGCTTCAAAGATTACAGCTAGAAGCGAACACTTGGCAGCTCCTTCTAAATCTAATCAGTATCAACGATCCCCCAAGCAGAGACAGTGCCAAACAAGCTCAAGAGAATGCCTTCCAGAATCTTCACCGCTACTCGACCGATCGCGAAATTTGGGAACAGTTCGTGGGTGCTGACCACTATGCCCTGGAATGCGTGATCATCATGAAATGGCTGGAGCACACTTCAAAGTCAGCAAGTCAGGACATCGATTCGATAATCTCGGAGTTAGAGGCACAGGCTGAGAGGGGCCAAGGGATGTGGACCCACGGCTGGCTCTATACCAAGGAGACCATCAAAGGCCAAAAGCGACTGCGAGCTTGGCCTCAACCCCTCGAGCCTAACGATCCAGCTGTTTCCGCCTCGCTCTTAGTCTCGGAGAAGTCAGAATCAATGGTTACCCAATTGGATCCTGATGCGGTCACTCGGCAAAAACAGAAGCTTCAGAAACAGGATCAGTTCCATGAGCGCGCGACTTGGATGACTTGCTGGAAGATGCTGAGACAGGGCGAAAGCTGGACAAAGATTCGGGAGTGGGCGGAATCCTGCCTAGAGAATTGGCGAGCAGTTAGTTTGTGTGGCTCGAGCGTGGATGCAGGCTCTTCTCGCGGGGAACGGACACCTGTTGACGATGGAACCACGCGTATGATGAATTGGCGGTCACAAACCACATGGCGAAACGCTTGCTCTGCTTTGGCGCGTAGCCAAGGAACCGAAGATTTCGAGCGCGCCGTCTATGCATTGCTTTGTGGCGAGACAGAAGCTGCCTTTAAGGTCTGCCAAAGCTGGGATGACTACCTTTACGTTTATTTCAACAGCGTTGTGCTCTCCCGCTATCAAGGGTTCTGCAAGCAGTTTCAACGGAAACTCAATCACTCGCCGACTGTTCCTGTTGCATTTGTTCCCGAGCCTGTGGGATATGCCGATGTGAACAAATTTGTGCTGTATACAAAGGGCAACGATCGCGTCGGGGTCGAGGCACGCAACCCGTATAGAACTATCCAGGCCGCTATCCTGGGTAAAGGGTACGACTCGTTTTTCCACTCCTTGGCGAAAGCGGTATCACAAGCGGCGGCGAGCAAGGGAGATCTGTCTTTCGTACCAGATCTTCCACCCGCTGCCGTGGACGACTCTTTACTGATTGTGGCTGAGGACGACGATGCCTTGAGGATTGCGACTCATCTCTACATTATTGCGAAATCGCTCGGCTATGTGCGCTCAGATACACAGTTCTCGACTAATGCGTCTATCAATGTCATTGGATATATTGCTAACTTGGAGGAAGCCCGGATTTACGATATCATCCCTCTCTATGCATCGCTTCTACCAACATACCAGGCACACTCTGTACTTGGCCAGATCCTGATTGAGGTAGTCGACCCGCGGGAGAGACGACAACAAGTCAGACTCATGGAGAATCATGGTATCGATGTTGAAGCTGTCTTGCGTGATCAATGGCAATGGGTCAGCGCCAGTGTTTCTTCAGTTGAGCATTCAAGCACGCTTAAGCGGTACCCCAAGGTTGTCCGTCGTAAGGATGGCCTGCCCGAGGTGGTACCAGTCAAGAAGGATTACATTGGAACCGATGTATCTGGTACGGAAGAACGCGTCATTCGGAGTCTGGAGTGGCTTCGCTATGTTGATGGACAATGGGGGAGGATCTGCCAACTGGGTGCCTTGCTGTACAGGAAATTCTTTGGTATGTCTGTGTGCCTCCAACTACCTCGGACATGGTATTGACTTATATATTTTACAGTTAGTGGAAGACTTGCTGCTGCTCGGGAGCTGAGTAGACGTATGAGGTTGTCAGATATATCACGGGAGTCATTTGGGTTTGATCTGACAGATTTACCCTTTGGCGTTGAGGATGGGGTAGAACCGTCGACTCCAGAGCCCTCCAGTCCGACCAAGTCGAGGCTGTTCGGCTCTCCTCATAAGCGCAACCGATCCTTAACGAATAGATTGCCCTCCGATGAGCAAACAAGTCTTTTAATCCAACAATCGCAAACTATGCGTGACTTGGAAGAGCTTATTCTGGCATTTAATGCACTAGAGTGGTTTGCTGTGGTTTGCGAGAAGCTCGATAAGTAAGTAACCTGCCCCTTGATATGGGGAATTTGCTGGGAAGGATCTAGCCGACTAACGTTGTGCAGGAATAAGCACAGACGCGATTCTGGCACGATCAAAAGCCTGAAGGAAGATCTTCAGGAGTCGTTAGATGAAGTTTCTGTGCACGTTGACGCACTGCTGGATGAGTGGCTCATGGGGGCTGAGGACGGTAAGACATCCTCGAGAACACATGAAGGGACGTATGCTGACACCAATGGCCAATACAGAAACCGAACGAGCCGAGCTGGAAGAAATCCGAAAGACCTATATCCCGGAGCTTTTCCTCGACTATCACAATGCGCTGTACTATGCCGGACATGTGCTTACCAGTGAGCTTCTGGTGCAGTGCATGAACCTGGCAATGCAAGTGTCCGAAAATGAGTATCTAACTAGCGCCTTTGTGGCGTCTCGTCGAATGGCGGAGCTCGTGGACGCGTTAGCCTTGGCTAGTAAGGCTATGGTCAACACGCAAGCGAGGCCTGGCAAGAAGCTTCTGGGAGGCGAGTCTTTGGGCATTTGGAATGTCGAAGTGCCCGATGAGGACATTGACCTCCAGGAGGCGCAGTGAAATGCACATGTACTTACATATCTTATGAATGAGTTGGTGTATATTACCCTCTTTTCTTATTTATGTTCTCTCATCGTTGGCAGGAGGGTTCTGGTCAAACCATCACATCTGGACAGGATTTAAGAGGGAGTGTTTTATTATTCGGGCGCTTTTTTTTTTTCAGGGGTATGGCTCGATTACAACACCACATCAAGAATTGGCATGGCATTTTCTCATGGATATTTCGCTCGCTCTCTAGTTAATACCTCGTATAGGATATTGTGAAATCCTTACTCCGTACTCCTTGCTCAATCTTGCGCAATCATGTTTTCTACACATACCTGACCTGATTTGAAGATTTACTTCACCTCAAACTGGACCAATAAAGCTCCATAAACAAGGTAAATACTCTAGTATCCACGCCATCAACCCCGTCGCCATCGTGGCGCAGTCTGCAAACTATTGAATACATCAAGTAGAAGAAGCTTGCTTGCCGAATCCCCGGGAAAAAAAAAGAATCAAACTTTAATATTAACCAAACTCATACTCGGTGTCATGGGTCATGGATACCTAATACCCACAGCTCACGCCAAAGCCTTGCTTGACAGAAAAAAGGTTATCCAACGAACTAGACTGTCACGAAGCAGAAAGGCCCCATCGAGTAGGACAATGGTGTGCCCTGTGTACATACATCATTGCATTGCATTGTATTGCTCCGTCGAAGAGGGCAGTGCTTGGTTTCTCCATCGAGCGAGCAATACGACTACGGCCGAGTTGGAGAATACGAATGGACGGCCCTGAAGATGTAATGAATTGAATAAAATGTTTCAGTCTAGATTACCGCTAGACGACGCGACGTTCGCGCAGTCGTTCCTATCCACGGAAGGAATAACTATCTCGATAGAACGATTGAGGTTGGACGGGACACCGTCGGTCTCTTCCCGAATCAAGACATATCGACCAAAGTCCATGGGGGTATCGTGGCCAGGTGATATGCAGATATTGAGAGTGAGTTGGCGAACTCTACCCCTCTCACACAACGAAACCACAGACCGCCATTCCTTCTACCATAGGTTGGTTAGATTCCTTAGGTTGAGGTTGAGGAATGTTGGGTCTCTGGCGTTGTATGAGGTATTAATTCAGATGCCTCTTGGGGGGTACAGACATACATGGATATACCATTAGTAGGTACGAAAGAGGAAGGTGGAAGTCCACTTACTGTCCTGTACCTGTCTATTGTGATAAGCGTTTGGAGGCTGTGTTCGTTCCTCTGGAGATTAGTACACTTATAGAGTACGTGTTAAGGAGTGGGTCCTTCTCGACATGTTGTTTGGCAGAAGATTAATTATCCTTGCATGTGGCTTTCCGTCTTCTTTAGTGTGTTTTGTGAAATTATTATTTTTGATAAGCAGGGGTAGTGTTTAGGGTATGCTTATATGCATGGTGAGAGAGATTGATAATCTCTGAATGTCTATCCAGTACGGTATCGTGGTGATAGCATGTCAGAGTACAAACTGTCGAGCAGTTATGGATTGAAAGAAAACCTGATCGCCCCACATACTCAACCAAGGACGAGATCAAACGGTATACGGAGGACATGCTTCCATAACACATGTTCAATATCTGCGGTGGGTAAACCGAAGTGCTGCGTACGGCTTATGCTCGCGTCATACATGTCGAACTAGTGATGGCAGTAGTCTTTTCTAGAACCGATAGTAAATCCTCAGTTTAACCAGGACGGGTCTAGATGGTCAAGCTAGCTACGAGATGGTAAAACAACATGCACGATCACTGATATACTCGCCTCGGTATCGTCATGCTTACTATTACCCTTGTCATATCCGCGTGGTTACAAATGACGCAGTATTGTGCTATTCAAGAGATATCACTGCATTGCATTGGACCACGCTTCGTTCCGTTGTCCTATCAGACCATCGACGTCGGTGTAACTGCCACATATCATACTATGAGACAGTATGGCACCTCGTACTTGGTTCCCGTACCCACGGCTCGCTTCGTTTGGAGAAGTATCCACCCATATTATCTAGGGTATGAAGATTGTATGGAGTACACAAGGTACAGGTACTCCGTGTATCTAGAGTTGAGCGAGGCTAGACCTGAAGAACGAGTAATGCAACCGCCCAAGCGAACCAGTAGAAGCGCCCTGGATGGATCGAACGCGAACGGCATCAAAATGATGAGGAGAAAAGTCATCAAAAAAAAAAAAAAAATAAAAAAGAAAAAAGAAAAAATCGCAAGGGCTAGACTGTTGGAGACGTGTTATGGGTCCCTTTCCTTTGCACCGCCCATTTGCCAAGCCCCAGAGTTCATTATTCGTCCGCGGCAATGAAACGACCCCCATCAAGGAGTTGAACGGTGCAACGGACATGATGAGATTGGTTCATGTGAGAAAAATGATATTGGCAGGCTCGCAGCAGGTTTGAATTTTTTTTTTTCTTTTCCTTTTTGTCTCTCAAGTGTCCGTTGCGGGCCTCATTGTCGCCTGTATGTATGGGGTAAATAGTCAGTGTACTTTTACCAACCACATCAACATTCAAGGATCAATACTTTCGGGCTCCTCAAGAATTAAAGTTTCGGATCAAAACAACACCACCGTGTGCATCGGTGCATCAGTGGCAGGGAATCTATCTATCTATATTGAATTGTATGACTCGCCTCCCCCTTTTGGAGGTGGTTGTCGTGTAATGTCATCAAGTGGGCCCCCTTTTCGGCGTCAAACAATCTTAGAGACACGGCGGGGAGATCGGAATCTCAACTCCTACTGCGGACAGAAATCGTCCATAGGTCATATCACTGCTGGTCATGCAGGAAATATCTTGAATATGTGTAGCAGGTCTTATAAATAGGTCCCAGAAAGAATGATAACGGAGCTTATGCTTTTCTTTTCTCTCTCTCTCTCTCTTTTGTGGTATGAGGATACTTGCATTGCATTGAATAGAGCCCGAAAACGGTGTATATCAACCAAAGTGGTTAAAGGATCACGGGACCAACATCCCAATGTTCTTTTAAGTTATTAAACTAGGAATGGTGGGAAAATTAATATGGGAAAATATTTAATTGTTTTTATTTTATTTTCTTTTAAAAAGGAGAGGAACAAGAAAAAGGGAGGAGGTCAGTGTGTGGAAAAAATTAAAAAAATATAATAAATAACAAATAACAAATCGATGACGGAGAAATGGAGTGAGGCAGTGCAGCGGACGTCGACGAGTGATGTTCCAGCATTGAAACTTGCAGGACAAGGTCCAGTCGTAGGAAGTGAAGCAAATCCCAAGCATTGTGTTTCGGTGGCAAGCCATGGACCCATCATGAAGAGAGATTCTTGTTTTTCTTCTCTCTTTTTCTTTTTCGTGTTCCATATTTTATGGTCGATTGTAGTTTGTCTCCCTTTTCGGTAACTAGTTGATGAAGATGTTCTAATGGGAAACTTTCAATACCAGGGGAAAACGCGATCAAGTCCAGATCCAGTAAGCAGGGAAGCGATGACATCCGTCCAATTTGGGAAATGAGCGGTTCTGCAAACGGCATCCATTACTTAATTCGCGTACGGGGGTTTACCGTACAGGAGATTCTCGACCTTCTGCGGATCGCCGGTGGAGCTGACGGCCGCAGTAGTGACGGCCTTCTTACCGTAATGCTTTCTAGATCTTGGCCGGTGATTGGCTGGACTGGCGACCGGAGGGGACTTTCTCTCAATGGGGTCTTGTATATAGGAAAAAAAAAAAAAAAAAAAGTATCGGGTGCTGGTATTGTAATGGTTGTAACTTGGGACGCTAACCGCCATTTGGGATCCATGGTTTACTCCGTAGCGCATTGAACCCAACTATTATTCTATTGCAAGAGCTACGCAACGTAGCGATTATCTCCAGTCGACCTACTGACCTCGGTGTACCTGATCTCACCACCTCACCACCTCACCGTCCTCGCCTCTTTCCTCCTCCAACCCCGGATAGCTCCCTTCTCTAGCGCTATCTCCCCTATTTCATTGGTCCTACGTCAGGGCCGACTGGAGGAGTATACCGTTCGTATACTCCCGCTTTGCGTCTCTTGTTGACTTCTGTCTGTCCCTGGTGTGTTTCTGGTTTGCTTGTATGGCTGACCTTTTTGATTGAAAGCCTCGCCCTTTAGAGTCCAAGGCACTGGTTGCGGGTTTCTCCTATCCTTTGTTTTCATTCAAGTTCTTTATGCGCTCATAGATGACCACCTTTTGCGGATCTCTCATCCTATTCATAACCGTGGATACTTCCGTTGACCCTAGGTCGCTGTTTCCTGTCGTTTGATATCTCGACATTCCCCGAGTGAATTGCTTTGCCACAGAATCCTCTGCCGGTTTCCACTATATTTTGGATGTCGATCGCTACCGTTCCTCATCATTCTCGTGCATTCTTCGCTATTAGATTCACAAGAAAGGAAGACCGGTGATTTTCTTGTCCCAGCATAAGCCACATGGGCTATATTGAGCAACTGCTAGGACTCCATATCTTTTTGGGGAGCTTAACCGGTTGCGGTACTACTGCAGAAAACCCTACCTCTTTACGAACACAAGCCTTACTTTGATGATACGACGAGGCCCGATTGATTGCTCCTTCAGGAGCCGCATTCTTACAGATATCAATATCCCTTTCGTCTGAAACTTTTGTCGCCCTTGAGACCCACTTTCACTTGGGCCGTTAACCCCCTTGGACGATCATGTCGGATTCCAGATCGAACGCAAACGATTCCAAGCACTCGCAACCCCTGCAACGACCGCAGGCCCCCGAAATCAAAATTAATACCGACTTTAACGAAGAGATCTCACCGAGCGCGGCGCATCCCACCTTACAAATCTCCAGCGAAAATGCCTATTCCAATGATACGAGCGCTCTCTTGAACAGCGGCAGTGTTTCGCCCTTGGATGGGACTTCGGGTGGCTCAATACGCTCCTTCACATCTGACCCACGGGATCACGAGAGTCGACCGACCTCTCCGCACAACGTCTCGTCTCCTACGCACAAGATGAGCGAGTCCGTGTCCCATTCGAACTACCTGGCTGTGCCCGGCACTAGATCTCGCGGGAATTCATTGGAGTCGGAGGACACGCATCAGTCGTCCAGCACATATGGAGGTGATACCTATGTACCAACAGCATCTCATGAATCCCGTGCAGATCTGACGAAGAACATGGTTATCAATGATGAGGACGCCCTTAAGCCAGATCCGGGCCGCGAAGATGAGTTCACGGTGGAGAATAACAAGTTCGCCTTCTCGCCGGGCCAGCTAAACAAGCTCCTAAACCCCAAAAATCTCGGCGCATTCCATGCCCTAGGTGGCATTCGTGGCATAGAGAAGGGGCTGCGGACTGACATGAACAGTGGGCTGAGTATGGATGAGACCGCGCTGGATGGCACCGTGAGCTTTGAGGATGCAACGTCAATCGCTTCGGAGGAATCGACTCAAGGGTCTCCTTCCCAGCCCCCGCGGCAACCGACAAGATCTGGCACGGAGCCTGCGAAACAACCTGACAATGTCTACACTGACCGGAAACGTGTCTATGGAAGCAACAAACTTCCTGAAAGAAAGCCCAAGAGTATCTTCGAGTTGGCTTGGATTGCGTATAATGATAAGGTCTTGATTCTTCTGACGGTTGCCGCGATTATTTCACTTGCTCTCGGCATCTACCAGTCGGTGACAGCCAAGAAAGGCGAGCCCAAAGTCGAATGGGTTGAAGGTGTCGCGATTATTGTGGCCATTGTTATTGTGGTGATAGTGGGTGCTGCGAACGACTGGCAGAAGGAGCGCCAATTTGTGAAACTGAACAAAAAGAAGGATGACCGACAGGTTAAAGTGATTCGCTCTGGGAAAACGTTGGAGATTCCAATTTACGATGTCCTAGTCGGCGACGTCATGCATCTCGAACCCGGCGATGTAATCCCAGTTGACGGTATCTTCATCAATGGTCACGGTGTCAAGTGTGACGAGTCTTCCGCGACAGGCGAGTCGGATGTATTACGCAAGACTGCCGCCAATGAAGTCTTCCGGGCTATTGAGCAACATGAAAACCTCTCGAAACAAGACCCTTTTATCGTATCCGGCGCGAAAGTCTCCGAAGGCGTGGGGACATTCTTGGTCACATCCGTTGGGATCCATTCAACATACGGGAAAACGATGATGTCTCTCCAGGATGAGGGCCAGACGACTCCGCTGCAGTCGAAGCTGAATGTCCTCGCTGAATATATTGCCAAACTCGGTCTTGGCGCCGGATTATTGTTGTTTATTGCACTGTTTATCAAATTTCTCGTTCAGCTGAAAACCATTGACGGCGCCGATGAGAAAGGTCAGGCTTTTCTTAGGATTTTCATTGTTGCTGTGACAGTAATCGTGGTCGCTGTTCCCGAAGGATTGCCTCTGGCTGTCACACTAGCGCTCGCCTTCGCCACAACGCGCATGCTGAAGGACAACAACCTGGTGCGGCTGCTCCGGGCTTGTGAGACTATGGGAAACGCGACCACGATTTGTTCCGACAAGACAGGCACCCTGACGGAAAACAAAATGACTGCTGTTGCTGCCACTATGGGAACGACCTTTAGATTCGTCAAGGATGCCGGTGCTTCTTCCAATGGAACGGCTGAGGATGGCGATGCACAAGAAGTTTCAAATGCCTTGTCACCATCTGAATTTGCCAAAAGTCTTACCGCACCCGTCAAGCAGCTTTTACTCGACTCCATTGTGCTGAACTCCACAGCATTTGAAGGGGAACAGGAGGGGACTATGACGTTTATTGGTTCAAAGACCGAAACCGCGCTATTGGGTTTCGCAAGAACTTATCTCGCCCTCGGTTCGCTTAGTGAGGCACGGGCTAACGCAGAAATCGCTCAGATGGTGCCGTTTGATTCCGGCCGTAAGTGTATGGCTGTTGTGATCAAAATGGGACCGGGAAAGTACAGGATGTTGGTCAAAGGTGCCGCGGAAATTCTGGCTGCGAAATCTACGCGTATCATTTCCGATCCAACAAAAGATTTGTCTACTCACCCGATATCCGATGACGATCAGAAGACCTTGAATACGACGATAGATCGGTATGCGGCTAAGTCCTTGAGAGCGATCAGCTTAGTGTATCGCGATTTCAGCCAATGGCCGCCCGAGGGCGTACGGAAGCAGGAAAAAGATCGCAGCCTCGCGGATTTTGATGCTGTATTCAAGGACATGACCATGTTCGCTGTTTTTGGCATTCAAGATCCCCTTCGAGCTGGTGTGACAGAATCTGTTAAACAATGCCAGAAAGCTGGTGTCTTTGTCCGAATGGTGACTGGAGATAATATAAATACGGCCAAGGCTATTGCTGGAGAGTGCGGTATCTTTACGCCCGGAGGGATTGCAATTGAAGGACCCAAATTTCGCCAACTTAGCTCCGCTCAGATCCACCAGATTATCCCTCGACTGCAGGTTTTGGCAAGATCAAGTCCTGATGATAAGAAGATCCTGGTGACTCATCTGAAGAAGCTAGGTGAGACGGTTGCGGTTACCGGAGATGGAACAAATGATGCCCAGGCTCTTAAGACAGCAGATGTTGGATTTTCTATGGGAATTGCTGGCACGGAGGTGGCAAAGGAGGCGTCAGATATCATCCTGATGGACGATAACTTTACCTCGATTATCAAGGCTATGGCCTGGGGTAGGACTGTGAACGACGCGGTCAAGAAGTTTCTGCAGTTCCAAATTACAGTCAACATCACTGCGGTTCTCCTAACCTTCATCTCAGCAGTGGCTAGTGACACTGAAGAATCGGTTCTTACGGCAGTACAACTTCTATGGGTCAATCTTATTATGGACACTTTCGCAGCGCTTGCTCTAGCGACTGATCCCCCTTCTCCACATGTTCTGGACCGCAGACCTGAACCCAAATCCGCGCCACTTATCACCCTCACGATGTGGAAAATGATTATCGGCCAAAGTATTTATCAAATGACTGTCACGCTTGTCTTGAACTTTGCAGGAGATCGCTTTGGTTACCATGGCGAAATACTCTCTACAGTTGTATTCAATGCTTTCGTTTGGATGCAGATCTTCAACCAGTGGAACTCTCGCCGTCTGGACAATGGTTTCAATATCTTTGAAGGCATGCTCCGCAATTGGTGGTTCCTTGGAATTCAATTCATCATCATGGGTGGGCAGGTCTTGATCATCTTTGTTGGTGGCCATGCCTTCTCTGTCACCAGAATAAACGGTGCGCAATGGGGAGTCTCTTTGATTATTGGCGTGATCTCTCTTCCGATTGGAGTCATCATTCGGCTAATTCCAGATGCATTGATTGAGAAACTCATACCAAGAT